TCTTTCAGTATCTTGAGTATGCGTTACTAAAGAATTCTAGCTTGAGGGCATAGAGCCGAAGAAGCAATCATAAGAAAACCAATGTTTCAACGTGATATGGCCGTAAGCACTCCCCACTTTGTTCTGTGGCTTTTTGACAATACTTTAGTTATTTTATTATTCATAACATTCATTCTTCGAATGCTCCAAGATGAGTCATCAGTGACGTATTCCTGTCTTCATTAAAAGTTTCAGGTTCTTCAAGATCAGACTTTACCCGCCAGGTATCCCCACTTGTATTGATTAAGTACAAACTCCCATCTCGATAGACCCCCTGATACGTATTATTCAAACATTCATTTTTTGTTTTTTTTTTTGTTTTGGTGGGTGTTTTTTAAGAGCTTCGGTCGTCCTGCTATGAGTCAGTTTCTTCTGAATTCTTGAGAGATTATTTGGAATGATTTGCCTTCTTTAGCTACGAATCAACGTAGACCATATTTAGATATTTTCAGGGTTGATCTCCGATTTGATTTAATCCATAACAACTCAGACTAACAAAGTCGTTTTGATCGAAATAGCCACAATTCTTGACTAATAGGTTTAAGTATTTTGAGAGTTGATCTTCGATTTAAATTAATTCCTGACAACACGGATACTGTTGATTCACAAAGTCGTTTCGATAGAAATAGCAACGTTGCTTGATGAAAAGGTTTAGGTATTTTGAGAATTGATCTTTGATTCGATTGCATTTTACCCCTAACAACACAGAAGAAGTTGACTCACGAAGCCATTTTTAAACAGTGCTTGAATAGCTGCTTTTACAGTCTATTGGTATGAGTTTGACACCCGAAAACAAAAACGCATAAACTTTTTCACAGAAAATTATTCCAATATAGATTTGTCGTGCTGAAGTTGCATCTGTTTCTCTTAGACATTAGTGGTCCTGGCTATAACAATAAACTACATCCGGCAGCAAGGCCTTCGATCTATAGGGAGTTTTGAGGGGCGTGGGACCACCTCTTAATTGCTGTTTTTCCCTGACCCATGGTGGAGACACCTGTTAGGATCCCAGCTATGGGAAAATACAGTGGAACCTCAACTTAACGGACTAATAGGGGGGTCATCCGTTAAAGCCTTTTGTCCGTGTTATGGGACCTACCTTTAGGGACTAAAATGGACTCGTCCTATTACTATAATATGCCTCCCAAGAGGGCTGTCTACTGTTGACGAGTTGACTACGGTTGACTTCTGTCGAACTCTCTGCTTTGGCAGAGAGGAACCTGGACGAGGCTTTGCCGAAGGGTAAGGTTTCGTCCGGGGAGGTAGACTGGCCCAGAACCCGTCTAGGCGGGTTCAAAGGGTATATTTTTTGGCCGAGCCTACGGGCTCGGTGAAACCCACATTAAACTCGGCCTTGTGCCACATACATTCCTCGTGGGGGGGGACTGTTAAGTATCGGTGACAAGTTGACTACTGTACTTTGCTGTCAGTCAGACGCGCAACACATGTATTCGTTCTTTTTGTTAATAATACGTTTTCACTAAATTGCTGAGTTCGAGTTTTCTTTCAGACCTCTTCCGGGCCACAACAGTCCGTTAATTTGAAGCACTTTTTTTCGTGGCCTAAAACACCCAGTACAGTACAAAATTATTGCAAATAAATGTAAATACAGTATAAATGCAGTATGTATATTTCATTTTTAAGTTATTATGTACCTTTAAATAAAGTTTGAAAAGTTTTAAAGTTTACCTAATCTTAACTTTAAACATGGCTGTGATGGTTTACTATTGCCGTGAAAGTGCCATGATTGTATAGTGGAGCGTCACAGTAGTAATTACTGTAAGCCATGGGACCCCTCTGAAGTACTACTGGTGCTTGCGAGGGGTGATAATGTCGTTCTGGTGAGAGAAAGGTGTTTTGATTGTGGTCGTGGCTAGTCGGGGTCGCCTTCATGAGCCGCCTGTTTTGGGAAAGTTGGATTCATTCAGCTTTGGAAATTGGAAGCTTTGGAAATTTTAGCAGCTTTAGAAATTGCCTGAAAACCATGCCACAAGTTGACTCAAGCCTTATGTATGACATTGATCAGACTGAACTATGGTTGTACAATCACGAAGTCATCTTGAACGAGCGTTTGAGCGTGCTGGCATTGTTCAGACTGTCAATTACAGCAAGTAATGCGCTTTCTCCCACAGACTAAATAACTACGGTCCGCCCAACATAGTTGCAGTATAAACCACAGGTGGGTTCTGTATGAACAAACGTCTGTATACGTCTGTATAGGGATTGACTAGTCGCCCTAGTAACTCGCATATGAGCGGTCAGTGCCCATATCTGAACATTTGCGCTGAAAAATATTCACGGTAATTACAGATATTTGTTTTAAAACTTTATTTACATCTTCGGAAGGATAAGCCTTACACTCAGCTAATCTTGAAAAGAATTCTGTTGAATATTTTTCTTTTTTTTTGTTCATCGGGTACTTTTTTGACAAGATGTCTTTTCGGATACTTTTTTGACATGATCGCTTTTCGGGTACTTTGTGACATGTTCACTTTTCGGGTTCTTTTTTGACATGTTCACTTTTCGGGTACTTTTTCGACATGATCACTTTTCGGGTACTTATTTGATATAATCGCTTTTCCGGTACTTTTTTGACTTGATCGTATTTCCGGTACTTTTTTGACTTGATCGCATTTCCGGTACTTTTTTGACATGTTCGCTTTTCCGGTACTTTTTTAGCACGTTAGTTTTTCGGGTACTTTGTGACATGTTCGCTTTTCGGGTTCTTTTTTGACAAGGTTGCAGCAAGGAAAAGAAAGTCACGTATAAATGAAACCCAGATCAAATGGCAGCTAGGAGAGCTTCCAATGCTGTGAATATACACTGACTTAGGGACTTTCAAGCTCCTGAAGAAGCCGAAAGCCGATGCAAGAGCACTCTGCAGGAGCTAGTTTAAATGCCGCCCGGTAGGGTGGCTTTTAAGCTAGTACAATAATACTAATAATATAATCTTTCAAATTCATGTAATAATACTAAGAATAATAATTTATAGAGGTCATAGTCTTTCAAAAACATATCATAATAGTAATAATATAATGAGTCTTTTAAAACCATATATTAATAGTAATAATATAGTGAGGTTATAGTCTTTCAAAATCAAATGATGACAGTAATAATATAGTGAGGTCATAGTCTGTGAAAACCATATAATAACAGTAATAATATAGTGAAGTTACAGTCTTTCAAAACCATATAATAATAGTAATGACTAGCAGTAGAGCCCGGCGTTGCCCGGGGATATAACAGTATGAGATAGATCAAGTATCGACCATCATAAAGACTGAAAAATAAAATTGACAAAGATTATTGTTTAAGGTTGACGGACACGCATGTCTTAATTATATATTTTTTTTTTTTTTTACGAATTGGTCAAACCCAAACTCAAACAAATCATTGTTTTCAATCATTATTAGTCTACTGATTGAATAGAATTTTATTATAAATAATTGTCTTGTAAATGGAAATTTTTAAAGCATTCTGAATGTAAAAATAAAGAAAAAAGTGTGCAAGACAATAAGAAACACTACATGCCAAAAAAAAAGTGAAGTTTTGTTGAAATCGGTTGAAAAATGTAGGTAGCCTTTCTGTAATCTTTTAGTTTTACAATTTATGATTTTTACTTATTGAATACAGTAAAAAAAAATGCATATTTTGCTTGTGGTGATTCATAATTAGAATTCTGATTTGAATATATTTTCCACTCGTTGTTTCTAATACAAAAAATATTAACTTTATTTGGGTTTATTAATTATGATCTAACAAATCTTATTCATTTAGTAGCCTTTCTGTATTAATAATCTTTTTTAAATTTATGATTTTTACTTATTGAATACAGTAAAAAAATTGGACACCATGTGTATTTAAAGTAGTTTCCCGTTCCGGTTATTATTTTTAGTTAGGACTTGTGTATGTTTAGATTTCATTATCTTTCCCTAAAGATAAAGAATTTATTCCGATGTTTGTATTCGTACAATCAGTAGAGATCGTTAGATTATTGTTTAAGGTTGACGGACACGAATGTCTTAATTAGTTTTTATTTTTTATTTTTTACGAATTGGTCAAACCCAAACTCAAACAAAAACATTGTTTTCAATCGTTATGAGTCTCTCGATTGAATTTTATTATAAATTATTGTCTTGTAAATGGAATTTTTAAAGCATTCTGAATGTTAAAAATAAAGAAAAAAAGTGTACAAGAGAATAAGAAACACTACATGCCAAAAAAAAGTGAAGTTTTGTTTTATAGGCTGAAAAATATAGGAAATCCGCTCTCATATTTAAAGAAACCCACACACATACAAACAACCCGATGTGAGTTGTCCCCCTTCCATTTTCACGATGTCTCTTAATCGTGTTTTCAAATTGATTTTGTGCAAAAACAATTATATTTTTTCCATTTTTGGCGCTGTTAGAACCACCACAAGGTAATTTTATGTAGTCCTGTGAAGTTTTGTTGAAATCGGTTGAAAAATGTAGGAAATCCGATCCAATATATAAACGTTACAGACACACACACACACACACACACACACACACACACACAATCTGCGTTTTATAATAAGTAAGATATAGTGAGGTCATAGTCTGTCAAAACCATATAATAATAGTAATAATATAGTGAGGTTATATTCTTTCAAACCTAAATTTTTGATGAGTGTCACAGGTTTTTTGAAGCTAGTGCAATTCTGTACATATGCAAGGTTTTGATGATCTTAACCTTTCTGAATGTTGTTTGTTTATTTTGTGTGTTGCATTTTAAAGCAGCATAATCGACAACAGGATTTGGTCCAAGGAACAATTCGTCTAAAGCTCTAAACTAGTTTTGGTCCGTACGATAAGATATGATACATTTTGTTTATTCTCATATCGGAGTAGCATTTAGTTACTCCTCTATATATTGTATCTTTGATTATCCTCCATATTGTGGAACTTTTCAAATTCAAATTTAATACTCTTCAACATTAGATATTAAAGAGTCATAACCGCCATCTGATTGTCGTTCAACTCTGGGCTTTACTTCAAATGAAATGTCATCACTTTTTTATAAGTTTCAGCCAGTTTTTGAGAGCCGTAGGTTCAGATATTGTTTGATTTCTTTTCACTTGACAAATTCTGTGAAAGGCTTCAATGGTCCTGAATTACAGTTGAAAAATCGGCACAATCTCAATGCTTTCAGCCACCATTATGCTATAAATAAAATAATTAATTAGGAGTACTTTTATTAAAATTTGGATTATGCAACGGCCAGTCTCTACTGAGCACCTGAAGATAGCGTTGTGCATAAAACTCCGAATCGTGCTACCGTTGTGGAATAATATGTATATTTATTAATATATGCATAATAAGTGATATATTACATCGATATACTCTAATATATATATATATATATATATATATATATATATATATATGTGTGTGTGTGTGTGTGTGTGTGTGTGTGTGTGTGTATGTCTGTGTGTGTACATATTATTTTAGGATATTACAGCAAAAACATGTAATAATCGCTACACAATTGCAGTCGTGTTTCAACGAAGCGTCTCCTCAGGCGATTGTATCTGGATATATATATATATATATATATATATATATATATATATTGAAGAAATATAGTTTTAAGGTGTGGTATATTTATGGGATAAAGTGCTCAAAATCAGAGATAGAGCGTATGCAAATATGTAGTATATATATATATATATATATATATATATATATATAGTTGAATTGATGTTAGCTTTATCACTGATATTGAGCGCTTTCCAATATGTACCGTGCATATATAATATATAAATAATATATATAAAATTGCACATATATATATGTATATATATATATATATATATAACGTTTGTATACATACATATTACACATACACATAAAAATATATATATATATATATATATATATATATATATACTAGTATACCTGTGCCATGACGGCAACGGTTTGAATGTAGTTTTAATAGTGAGATGCAACGAAACAAAAGTCTTGAAACAAAGCAGCGATGAAGAAACAGAAATCAATGAAGCGCTTAATTCCCTCTAAATGTCTTAGAAGTTCAATGGTATCTATGATTCTTTGATTATTCCTGGGATTATGTCAATGGCTCTTTGCTCAATATCATTTCATGTTAACAATTTTAAAGAGTGAAATGGAAATATCTCTCGGGGGGGGGGGAAGAACGACGGCACAGACGTCAAAGCCTATTTCAAAATCAATTTGAAACATAAGCGTTCACTTAATTGACAAATGTATCTGAGTATCTCACATGAAAGTCTTGAACAAATAAGACTGCAATCTAAGAAAAATAGAAGTAAAAGAACTGATTAATTAAATGTTTCATTTTCCTCGGGAGATAATTTTGTTTAAATGCAAATTAATATTTTATTTGCATAGATTATTAAATCGTATAAGGATAGTAATCATTCATAAATTTATTAACTTAAGTTGATTTACTTCCTTTCCCACTACATATGGGACAGGAAATATATAAATAAATACACAATGATAATTATTATATGGTTTGAGTAATAATATAGTGGGCATACAGACTTTATGTATCTATGAAATAAGCTTTGGAGATAGATGTAGCATGCTCTATAGAACAATATATTGCAGGTAAAAACGTTAAAATGTTGGCAACTACTCAGCATCGAATTATTGGTAATGTTCTATATATATATATAGTGTGTTTTGATGACACTTACTCTTATGAAATATTTTATCACTGCTGGAGGTCCGATTTGTTTGTACACCTTGCGATTTAAATATTCTTAAGCGACAACAGACCTTAGACCATTCAGTAAGAGGCACAGTTTATGCGAATAGGGGGGTAATATGACGGTTAATCCTAGATTTGAACATGCTAATATTGTAGTAATCGGAGAAGCATCCTCTTGGGAGACCGTTCCATTAAGCGGCGGTTACATCTCACCAATAGAATACAAAAGGGATGCGAGTGGTTCGCTAGAATGTGGGAAGCATGGTGGGTCATATCCGTGAGGGTTAGAAATAGTGGATCTAAGGAAGGCTTTCCATGGAAATAGCAACTCAATAGCGAGCGGCATGCGAGGGTTCTTCTGTGGGAAAAGGGTAGAAAGTAATTCATCAACCATAATGAAGCAGAGATGGTTTTGAACTCTATCGAGACTACAGGCTGGGCTGCTCTTTCCCATATATAGCAGCAGTAATTCCATTTTCGGTCTGACCTGGCTCTTGTAACGGTAGAGGATAGTATGAGGAGTTAGGCACTTGCTTGAGCGGTACAGGCACCGGCCATTTTCGCAGTATCTTAAGCGACAGATCGTATGTACAAGTTCCACTTGAGGTATGGGTTGAGTTTAAGTCCCAATAGGCGCTTAAGGCAATGAGCTTCCCCGGGCGAATATCCATTCATCGCGATTGGTGATTGTTCTGGGTCTGATCGGCAATGATAAAAATATAACTAGTTTGGTTCAGAGGGATTGTAAATTTGAAGCAAGATTTAAAGATGACGCCCATAATGTTTGGAAAAGAAAGGACACTGGTAAAAAAATTCACTACTTTGGAAGAAACTAGCGATAGAGCAGCGAGTGGCTTGTGATATTTCGTCTGTGGGAAAATGACTGTAGTGTGCAAAATAATTCATCACTCGAAAAGACGCACTCTGAAAAGTGAAGTCTGAACAGCTCCTACCCATGTATGACAGCAGCACTCTATTCTCGGCCTTATCTGGCTCGTAGCGGGCAGTAAGATGAGTTAGGTACTTAATGGAGGAGTAGAGAGTACCGACTATTTTCCTACAGTCTTTAGTGATGGATCGTATGTACGAGTTCCACTTGAGGCCTGGGTTGAGTTTAAGTCCCAATAGGCGCTCAAGGAATGAAGTTTCCCTAAGAGAACACCCGCTCATCGTGATAGGAGAACATTCAGTACTCCGTTTTCGGCATGATCTGGCTCTTGTAAATGTATCCGTTGAAAAGGTACCTTACGTCATCCAGCGAAATCATAATATTGACATTGTCAGTGTGTTTAGAAGACTCTTTTCACCGTCAGTGATTTACTAGTCTGGAATTGAAAGGTCCCCTTTTCAAGAACAATGACTATAATTATGCATGGACATTTGGGATGGAGTATCGCTCGCTCAGAATCAGCTTCGACAATAGACAAGCGAAGGTTTCAGCGAAAGTTACTCGATGATTTAATTGACCGTATCTCTTTGGAATGAGGAAAGGTTACCTTGGTTTCCATTTAAGCGGAATTATCTGCTTTGTATGAAATTATTAGGTTGGTGCGAAAATAATGACGTAATAATGTCGTTTTTTGACTTTAAAAAATAAGTTAAAAACGACATTATTACGTCATTATTTTTGCACCAACCTAATATTTAATGTGTGGCACCATGCATAATTAGGAAACTGAAAAGAGATATTCATAAATATATGATTTATTTTTTTGGTTTGTTAACCATTTGATAGTTATTTAGAGATGAAAAATATTTCGGAGTTGAGAATAATTCTCTAATTGCGTTCGGGCGATCTAGAAAGAAAGAAAGAAAAAGGAAATGAAGAGAAAAAAAAAAGAAAGAAATATAATACGCAAACCGGTCATAAGCACACACGCTCAGCTGACACATAACAGGTGTCAAAAAGATATCTAGGTCAAAGTACCTGACCGAAATCCACGAAAAATGGAAGTTTGTTATATTTGGTTGAAGAAATAAAATTTTAGGGACAATGAAAAAAATAATGATAAGTAACAAATGAAAAGGATGTCACTGAGATGATAGGTAACAGATGGGGAAGTTTATCTAAGGATATACAGACAATCCATTAATACAAGAACCCAGACAATTTCTAGAGTTGAAAATAAAACCACCCAAGATGATGATTAGAAAATGTTTTTTTTTTAGATAATTAAGATTTTGTTGTCAAGCTCCGAGCGAAAGGAATAAGTGAAATATTTTTATTAGTTCACGTTAACGCCACCCAAAGTGATGTCGTTTTTTTGAGATAATACAGATTTTTATTATCGGCCGGAGGAGAATGAAATATTTTGTTAGCTCCAGAGAGACGCCGACAGGACTAAGAAAATCCCTTTCTTAGATCGTATCCAATTAGCGGTAGGCTGTTTGACAGATACCGCGTGTGAAAGAAATCGATAGCGTCATTCGATCTGGTACGAAAAGGGCAATTTAAATGTTGTTTTTTTTAGCAAGGTGTTTCTTCCCCCAGAACAAAGCCACGGATTGTCCACGCCCGATTAGAGACGTCACGAAGGAAGGAGGAAAGATACCGACCAGAGTCTCATTGGCCGAGGGCGGTCACGTGATACATGATGGAGGAGGAGAGACACCCGACCAGGACCCCATTGGCCGAGAGCGGTCACATGATGTGCGAAGGAGGAGGAAAGATGCCCGACCAGGACCCCATTGGTCGAGAGCGGTCAACTGACATATGAGGGACCAGGGGAAGTGGGTATACGCCTCCCCCCCAGAGGCACAGTAAGGAAGTAGGAGTGAAAGTAAGTTACCGATAATGGAAAATCCCTAATCAGAAATAATACGTCTTTAGAATTATCAAGAAAACCCTGGCGCCGACAGACCCACCCCAGTTTTTGCCTGCCTCAATAAAAGCAGGACCCCAATCGACAGAAATCAGTTGCAGGGCGGACGGCGAGAGAAAGTTGCAGAGCGGACGGCGGGCCCTGTTCATTCGCCCCTTTGCGGGCAAGGAACGCCGGTCCGTTTGGCCCGGACAGGCAGAGAAGTTGCAGCGCTGACGGCGGAGACGAGTGGACAATAATTCAGACTCTGAAGCCGAAGAGAAGAAGTTAAAGTTGGGTTTGCACCTCGGAAGAAGAAGTTAAGTTGGAGTTGCAGCGCGGACGGCGGGCCTTGTTCATTAGTCCCCTTTGCGGCAAGAAAGGCCGGTTCGTTTGGCCTAAGTGGAGAAGTTGGAATCAAACCAAGCCTAAGAAGAGAAATTCGTCCAACCCAAGTCGAAGTGAAGAAATTCACCCAACTCAAGCCGAAGTGAATAAGCTCGTCCAACCGAAGCCGAAGAGAAGAAGTTAATTCGCGCACTGACGGCGAGGGAAATCAGCCGTGAACGACAGGTAGAGATCAGCGCCCAGTGTTGAAACCAAACCACACCCCGAAATGCAAATTTCTAGAGAGCAGGCAACTCGAAGCCTTAAAGTTGTATGGTAGAAGCTTGGTGCCACGGTCCACAGAACGGGTCGGGAGGTAGGAATAATCTTGTGTAACGAACATTTAGATATAAAAAGTTGTTACCTTTTTCTTCAATAATTTTTGACCTTGTGAGTTTTTCTTTTTCTTGTGTGTTATCACCCCCGTTGGACTCAGCTTGCATACGGCCCCAATCCCTGTTTGATCCCGTCTGTCTAAGATCTAATCACAACGTGGGTAGGCAGACCGGAGATCAGTACAGTTACCCTAGTAACCAGGCGTTGGAGGCGAGTTGGGAACGACGAGGCTGGTATTCATCTAACCCAAGGGTTAGAACGTCACACTTGGAGCAGCGAGGAGCGAACAGCTGACGCCGCGGAAAAAACGTCACAACTGGTGTCGTGACCATAGGATCAGAACCCTGGACCACGTCACGTCACAGTTGGCGTCGCGAACGAGATCGAACGACACAGTCGACGCTGCGACCAGGGGGGACGACGTCACAATGTGCTATTCTTCTTTTTTTATGTGCAGTGGGCTTTCAAGATATTGACCATCAGGTTTCTCCACAACTTCATTTGTATCCCTAAATCTTAATCCCTTGAAATTAGGGACACTAGGTAGAGTGGGTTCTTGTAGGTTAACAGCATGTGCCAGAACAATGAGAGAAACGGTAGTCTTCCATCTGGATAGTGTGAGGTGGAAACAAAGAGGATTTACCACTTCATCTAGCAATTCAGCTGCGAAAAAACAAGTCGTCAAAAACTCTATTGAAACTCTCCGGAATCTGAAAATGCACCCTTTTTTTTTCACCAGATTCGGCATTGTCCCGTCGGTCACAGAAAATTCCCAAGAGACTCGTACCCAAAGAAGATTTTGTCCCTAACACATAAAAAAATTGATTAAAACGAACGAGTATTTGCTTCAGTCGAGAACTACTTTCTATGTTTAACATGTTTGGCGTCTTCTCTTTTGGCGTTGAGCAAAGAATTTCTAAAGTGATGTAATGATGGTAAGTACCTATAAAGTCAACTGTCTCCGAGGGACTCGAGGTCAGAGTGTAGGTGTGTGAGAGAGAGAGAAGACGCAAGCACGTCCGACTTTCCAATTAGTGGCACTCACTACTAGATTGACCTGTGTGTATAACTGTACCGTATTTCATATTGTACTGGTTGCGTAATAAGTCAGGTAATAATGTTTAACGAGGATCAATTGATATGCATGAACGACTAACGTCTGGGTAGCAATTCAATCCCGTGTAGCTCTAGTGATATAGTAAGTGGAGGTTAGATGTGACAAAAGGCCGCAAGTATGGAGACCCCAATGGGAAACGTACTTTTTCTAAAGGGATAGGCTTGCTAGGCAGTACACCAAGTCAAAGTTCCTACCTACAGAGATATTTGTTTCAATTAGTTACTTGTTGTCGGACTCTATATATCAGCCTATTCAGATTTATTTCTCTAGCTAGTTAGCTAGATCAGTTTATTTATATCTATCCATGTAACTCAGTCTATTCCTATCTATCTATCTATCTATCTATCTATCTATCTATCTATCTATCTCAGTCTGTTCATATCTATCTATCTATCTATCTATCTATCTATCTATCTACTCCCGTTCATTTCTCCCTCTCTCCTTTCTTTCTTTCTTTCTTTTTTTCTTTCTTTCTTTCTTTCTTTCTTTCTTTCTTTCTTTCTTTCTTTCTTTCTCAGTCTACCCGTTCTCTATCTATATATCTACTTTTGTTAATATCTCCTTTCTTTCTTTCTTTCTTTCTTTCTTTCTTTCTTTCTTTCTTTCTTTCTTTCTTTCTTTTTACTCCCTCTCTCTCTGTCTATTTTACTTCAAATTTTCCTTCCTTGGTCTCGTAATTTCTTTATTTTTTCCTTTCTTTCTTTGTATCCTCATTATCTATCTATCTATCTATCTATCTATCTATCTATCTATCTATCTATCTATCTCAGTTGCTTCATGTCCGACCCTCTGTTATCTTTGTAGACATTCGGAGCCGTTAAAAGTTGAACCAGATTCAAATATACGAATGGAACCTTCAAACTGGATCAACTTCCTACTGCCAAATAGCGACAACTGCAATAACAATGAGAGAAACACACACACACACACACGCGCGCGCGCGCGCGCGCGCAAGACAACCATAATGTGATTTTGAAATTCCCCAGGCCACCGTAACTGGGCACGGACTCTGAAAATGATCCCCTGACATTAACTGTAGGTTAAAATCCAACGTCAGACGTAAGACTTGTAAAGATTCACGGAAAGACGAAACGTCTTGGAGTTGAGTGACTTGCCACCATTGCGGTCTCTTAGGGAGAATGATGAGCGAGAAAGAATTCTGGGTACTTCCATTTGAAGTGTATCAAGGTGTTAAAAAGCTGGCCTTTGATCATTCGGCGGTAGGTAAAAGAGGGTTATGTTTGCGCGCGCGCGTATGTCTGTGTGTACTTAGGTTCGACAGCGACTATATATTTTTGCATGTATTTTCACTGCGAATTCTGGACGTGTTTGTGCGCGTAAATAGTTGTACGTTGATCTATGTCTTCGTTTTTATGTTGGTACGCAGGTGTGTAAATATGTATATATGTATATCTGAGCGTATATATTACCTATGTGAAATATTTATTTCTATTTTAGTTTAGTTTTAGAGAGTTTTTCGTTAATTGAGGGGGAGGGGAGACAATATGATTAATGATTTTTAGCATATGGGAGGTATTCGTTGCAAATTCCCAACTAAATTCCTGAACACACACGCGCATGCATATATATATATATATATATATATATATATATATATATATATATATATATATATGCATGTGAGAGTAACTGAAAGTTGTCGGTCCGACCAAGTATCCCTTCAAAAACACAATATTTAATCATTCGGTTAGCTTTTGGAAAGTAAGTAAGACCGGGAAGTTTTCATGAAATCCATAACGAAAAATAAAAACAGCAGTCAAAATCGCTGAAACCTCCTGATGAGTGGACTGAAAAATTAAGAAAAGGGTGAGTCTACGAAACTCCGGAGTTGGTGTGCTGAATGTAACATCAATCAGCTAAGTGACACATTTTATATTTGCATTATCCAATATATATATATATATATATATATATATATATATATATATATTTTGTATTATCCAATATATATATATAATGTGTCATATATATATATATATATATATATATATATATATATATATATGAAAAAAAATAAAAAAAAAAAAACAAATGAAAACTACAGACAAAATTTCATTTTCTCCATCAAGACATTCATTTCTGTAGTTTACTGCTACTAGCAAGCAGAAATATTTCTTCTCCTGATGACTAGTCGAGGAATCTAAATGAAATAATAATAAAAAAAAAAAAACGAAAGAATATTAATCTACAACCCAGTGTCTCTAAAGATTTTAATTTTTTAATATTTTTTTATTGTTCAAAATAGATAGATAGATAGATAGATAGATAGATATAAATATATAAAGTAATTTATCGCGTTTAGAAGAAACCTCAACAGAATGCACTGGACGGCCCTTTCGTCCTATATTTGGGCCTCCTCAGCAGTGTGCATCCACATTACCGAGAATTAATAACCGGTCAGTTACGTTATCAGGCAAACGTCATACCAACTGTGCCAACGGGCCTCGGTGACAAAGAGGTAGCGAATTAGATTCGATAGAGCGCCGCTCGATCACATATTCCGCGGTGGAACTCATCCGAGTTTCTCTTTTACCCATAGGATTGTGCCCCCACGTGCCACGATTACTATCCCCAAGCCGCTCCATCGGGAACATTAGAAGCCAGTTCAAGCAATGATATACAAATGATAGAAATTATTAGGATTTGAGATAATTATAATTAAATCATCGAGGTTAGAAGAAACCTCACCAGAATCCAGAAGCACTGGATGGCCATTTCTAGACTCGATGAATTAATTATGATTATCTCCTTAATTTCTATCACACACACACACACACACACACACACACACATATATATATATATATATATATATATATAGATATTGAAGTCAACACACAGCGGTGATTGTTTGTTTCATGCTTAGACGCAATTGTGTGCCCATTTGTTTTATAATTTTTCATTAGTTGACGGAAAAGTCTTCTTGCGTTGGTTGTGGTAAATTTAGTATAACTAGTGTTTTGGTAAAAGACAACATTTTACATCACTTTAAATGTCCTTTTGGAGATTGTATCTCTGACAAAAAAAAACTAACTACATATATTGGTTTGACAAAGAAAGAAAAAAACAAACAAACAAACAAAGAATGAAAGAAAGAAAAAGACAAATCAAAGAAAGAAAGAAATGAATAAATGCGGGAAGAAAGGAGAAAAGAAAAATAAAGAATAAACGAAAAAAGATATGTCACAGAAAGAAAGAAAGAAAGAACAAATGAAAGAAAGGAAGAATCAAATTGGTAGAAATGGAAAATGATATGAAATGTAAATGGTAATTTCCTACACCACCAAAATAATAAACAAAAACATTCAAATTCTCCAGGCCCTCAATATCAAAATCAACCAACCAACACTCAACAAAATTTATTATAAATATAGTAACAACATAATAAAGTGCTTATAACATTTAATGCCATTTTACATTTCTGCCAGTTTCTAGTCAGCTCCTCTATATTTAACGCTTGTTTTGCAAAAAATCTTTCATTACGACAACGGATAAATTTTTAATTGTAAAGTAATTATAACAGAGCGCGTTTTACAAATCACTGTAACAACGGAAAACAGATTTTATCGCAGTTGCAATAAGTTTGTCTTTGTAATTTACCCCTGAAGATGATCTTGGAAAAAGTCGAAAGTAGTTGGGTTAAAAAAAAAAATTACGGAGCCTTCCTTGAGGAATTTTATCTTAACATCAAGAAACTGATCAGCTACCTGGAAAGGATCAGTATAAAAATAACTGGAATCAATATTACTATATTATTCAATGAAACATGTTTCAATGAAGATATGCTGTTTAATGTATACCTAAATGTATGTTATATATATATATATGTGTGTGTGTGTGTGTGTGTGTGTGTGTGTGTGTGTGTGTGTGTGTGTGTGTGTGTGTGTTAAAGGTCAAATATAGATCAAATATCCGACAGGATAATATTCCTGTTCATTCGTGAGAGATTGAGACAAAACAGACAAAAAGTCTGTTTTCTCTCAATCTCTGACGAAGCTTTAATAAAAGTGAGACATGTTAGATTGATATACGTGTCCTATTCTTTTAATTTATAGTGTGTGTGTATATATATATATATATATATTTATATATATGTGTGTGTGTATGTGTGTATGCATGTATATATGATATATATGTATATATATATATATATTGTTTGAAATATGCTGTATTGAAAGGGGAGGAGTACTTATTGCCGGAAATAGAGCGTTTAGAGATATATGTGCCTACATCAAATCACGCGGGGAAAAAATGATTCTCGTTTGATCACCTAAGTTAAGCGACGTTGAGTCCGGTCAGTACTTAGATGGGGGCACCGCTTAGAAATACCGGGTGATGTAAGCAACCCCCCTACATTCCGAGATAATTTCTTCTTTAAATAACCCTCCAAAAATTAAAGAAAAAAAACAAATGAATCAACCAAACAGTCGGTTTTATGGAAGAAGCCCGGAAATAAAACAGTAGTGAATTCTTGATCATCTTTTGACTATATAAATAGTAAAATGCTAAAATTGTAAATTATCGCATTACTACTGTATAACACGCAAGCCACAGTGTCTGAGGGTGAAGCAAGAGAAATATAGTTCTACAGAAGGATGCTGAGGATTCCATGGACCGAATTTAATGAGCAACGACGAAGTTTTAGATAAAATGAAAACCAAAAGGGAACTTAGAATCAGGAAGAGACAGTTGAAACTTCTAATGAGGAAAGAGGGCTTGGAAAATTTGGTACTCACAGGACAGATTGAAGGCAAGAGGGACAGACGAAAACAATGCATAACCCATCTAGTGAGCTTACGTAAATGATTGGAACACAACAGATAGAAGAAGAAAAAGAGTGACAGATTGATAAATGTTATAGAATGTCAAACTTTACAAAGAGCTACAAAAGACAGGAATTTGTGGAGAGCCATGATCACTAACGTCCTGAAAGGAAATGTCTCAGAGCACGAGAAGAAGAAGAATGAGTGAAAGACTGATAAATGTGATAGAACAATTTTACCAAGAACTCCAAAGCACAGAAAATTGTGGAGAGCCATTATCATCAGCGTCCTAAATGGATACGGCACAAAGAAGAAGAAGAAGAAATGAAATTCTGATAAATGTTATAGAAAGAATAACTTTACTGAGAGCTCCAAAGCACAGGAAGTTGTGGAGAGCCATGATCTCCAACGTCCTGAAGCATATACAGGGCCCTACCAAAAAGAATTGCGAACAATAGAAGAACAAGTAATAGAGTAATACAAAGCACATGTACTGAATTCAGTTTATTCCTTTTCATTGACGCTGTCACGCATCGAGAAAGTCTGTAGGACACCATCATTTTCGTGGCACAAAATGATACGGCGCCATGTCCTGTGTTATATTTTATGAAGCTGTGCTTTGTGGATTGCTGCAAATGCTCTTCAAATGGTGTCCTTAAACTGATGGGTATTATGGTATTGTTCACGTGAAATTGTCTCCTTGATAATACCCCGCAGGAGGTGAAATGGAAAATTATATTATGAAAGGGTGACAAGACTTTCGGACCACCCTGTAGAAGAATGTTCCCTTGAAATAATGTCTTTATCTTTGGTAAGGTTTGCTTCTGTTTTATTTACAGTATTTATGTATGTATCATTCTCATGTTTTTTTTTTAATTATTTCATCATCAGTATCATGTACCCTATTGTTGACGGGTGTTGTCGTCGTTATGGTGATGTTTCTGTCTCAACACACACTGGCATTTTCTCTCTGCATTAATGAGTCTTTGCCTTGAGCTCGGAGTTAGCTTCAAGCACACAAGCCATCGCTTCGAATTCAATAACTGAACGGACACAATAGCTTTGCAGATGTGGAAAGAAAAGAAAGAAAAAACATGAAAAAGATGACTTCCAAAAAAGATGGACGATGACATATTCAGCTTTTCGCCAATCCTTGGGCATAATCTCATTCGATTATATTCATTATTTCATGTCACAGCGAATTCACAGTGACCTCTCTCTCTCTCTCTCTCTCTCTCTCTCTCGCAAGAGAGAGATTAAAGTGCTGTTCACTTGAAGTGCATTACATAAAAGCTACTTCTTTATTCGCTTCTTTTTACAATGATGTTCACCCTGTACAAGGCCCGAGAACCCCTCGAGATAGAGGGTTACAGAGTAAGAGGCACAGTTTATGGGCATATGTTAAGGGAAGATAACAGTTGACACTAGACTAGAATAGGTTAAGGTGGTAGTCATGGGGGATGCATCCTTATTTTTAAACAATGTCACTACTATTACTATTATTAGTAGTATTAGTATTATTACTATTACTACCAGCAGCAGCAATAGTAGCAGCAGTAATAGTAATAGTAGCAACAGTAGCAGAAGCAGCAGCAACAGTAGTAGCAGCAGTAATAGTAATAGTAGCAACAGTAGCAGTAGCAGGAGCAGCGGCAACAGTAGTGGCAGTAGTAATAGTAGTAGTAGCAGTAGTAACAGCAGTAGTAGCATGGTAATAGTAACAGTACTAGTAGCAAAGTAGTATTAGCAGCAGTAGTAGTAGTATCAGCAATAGCGGTAATAGTAACAGAACTAGTAGTAAAGTAGTATTAACAGCAATAGTAGTACTAGCTGAAGTAGTATTAGTAGCAGTAGTAGTAGCAGCTGCAGCATTATTAATAGTCGTTCATGTAAGAAATGAAAGCTTTTTATTTAAATCATTTCACCCCAAGCGAGGCAATAATGCCACTAACGCTCAAAGGGTTACTAGGAGCGAAAGGAAATGAAAAGACTTCAGTGAGAAGAAAAGGACAATAAAAGAACAGCATCCGGAAAGATAGAAAATGTTGATTGAGGTTGCATTATAAAATGTTGAAGATTGCGTGTGGTTGGCAGACAAGACAATCCCACAGCCGAGAAGCGCGAGTAAAGAAACTCTTAGAATAGAATTTACGGTCGCATCTAGCTATTTCAACAGTAAAACGATGAGAATTAACAAATAATCGAGTGGTACGTTCAAATTCTTAAGGTCGAGGTACCTAAAGAAGAGCCGATTAGAACAACAGCCATGAAAATATTTGCAGAAAAGGCAGAGGAAAGACATATTATCGAATTTTTCCCTTGTCTTATACAGTCATGTACCCAGATATGAGCGAAATAAAGGGTTCAGTTCGACATTCCAACCACCTGAAGAAGACCGGAGCGTACAACGGCTGAAACGTTGTAATAAATATGGCGACAAAGATAAGGACAATAGTCCGAATAATGTAAATAATGTACATAATACCTCATCTCAGAAATATTGACACACTATTTACATTATTCGGATATTGTTCTCATCTTTGTCGCCATATCCCCCGGCTCACAAGCAATTTCCCATATCCCGTCCCTTGCGACGTTTTTCTCTTTCCAAAAGTCAAATCCCACTTAAAAGGAACAACATTTCAAGACGCTTCCATCAATGGTAACGACGCTGGATAAAGTGTGTGGCTTCAAAGAGTGATTACTTCAAAGGAGATTAATTGGTGAACTTATGTGTGTTGTAGTTTTCTTTTTATAGCACCAGTCCCGATATTTTTTTGATCAATCTCTAGTATATACAGCGCTGTGCAAAAGTAAGTGAAACCCCAACATAATGTTATTCTTTTTAAATTGTCTCATTTTTCTAGATAATCCACAAATCTTAATTAAAATATACATTCACTAAGAAAAAAAACAAATTTAATCAATTAGAACCACTTTCCAAAAAAATTATGAAGCTGGAATTAAAATATCAATTCAAAACTAAAAATTAAGATGTGCAAAATTAAGCGAACCCTTATATTTAAGATTTGGCAACTGCTCTTTTTGAGGTTACAATCTCAACCAGTGTTTTTCTATAATTTTTATGAAGTTTCTCGCCAGTAATGAGTGCCGATTTTTGACCATTCTTCTTGGCAAAACTCCTACAATTGCTCGATATAAGCTGTTTTTTGTTTGTTTTTGTTTTTTTTGCTTGTTTTTGCCTTCTTTCACTTGGATTATAGATCTTCAATTAGTCTTAGATCAGGACTTTGACTAGGCCGTCCTAAGATGTGAAATTTCTTCTTACGAACCGATTCTTTGGTGGATTTGCTTTGATGCTTCAGATCATTGTCCTGTTGAAAGTTCCAGACCCGACCTAAACCCAACTTTTGAACTGAAGACAAGACACTATCGTTCAAAATTGCTTGGTATCTTGCAGACTCCACTGTATCATCAATGCTTACTATTTTACCTTACATTTTTATGTTTAAAAAATCCTGAGATTGGAGTTTATAAGCAGTAAATTCGACCTTGTCTACCGAACGGTTCTTTGTAGCCTAGAGGTAAGGCACGTCAGCGTATATGACGGTTCCGTATAGGATGCAGGTTCAAATCCTGTCAAAGAACGAATATTTTCTATGAAAATTTCTCGGACATTCAGGCCGGTAAATGTTATTTAATACTGTTTATCATAAACAGAGCATTTGCTTAAATACTTGTATCTATAAAATAACAACGTTAAACATAAAAATGTCTTTAATAAATATATATATATATATGTACTAGCAGCATGGCCCGGCGTTGCCCGTGCTTGATTCAAAAATAGTACGACTAATACAGCTATCACTTGACTTAAAATATTTTTGCCCTTCCGTGCCTTTAGAGGAGTGCCCTTTGCCGTGCTGATGTTGTTACATGCCTTACTTCTTGCCTATCTCACACTGCCAACTTTTTCTAAGCTCTATAGTAAACATTATATCTGTTACGAAAAAAGAACTAAACAAAATAAACACAATATGATCAGCTTTAAAAAACCGGAATAAACATTTTTAAGGGTTGACCGATTGTCGATTTTCACTCTGTTTGGGGGGGGTGCTCAGAGTTGAAACTTCACCTGATGACTCCCAATGGCCTCTTCATAAATCCGCTCGGTTTTCGCTAAAAACCGACATGCGGTTCAGACGCAGTCTGGGCGTATCGGTTTTTGGGTTTTATCGATTTTCCGCGCTGTTTAGGGGTCCGTGGTCATGAAACTTCTGGACAGCACTTCTAATGGTAGACTCTAAGAGGGGGTCAAATTTGGTTGAAATGCGATCATTCCTTCTGTAAGCAGAATTTTTTTCGATTATCGATTTTTTCGATTATCGATTTTTCGGAACCTGATTCCGAACTCAAAAATCGGGCTCGGTCATGTCCTTACGGCAGCCATTTGCAAACTTGTGTTGAAAACCGCATCGAAATCAAGTGAGAAATGCGGCCTGGGCGAGGTAACAACGCCCACGTCAGACACACAGACAGACAACATGAGAAATATAGATAGATAGATAGATAGATAGATAGATAGATAGATAGATAGATAGATTTTTTAATTTAGTCTCTAAATGTACATTAAATGCTACGTAACAAAGTTTCCCCTACTTGAGGGATTTGGTTGGCTTTTGTGCTCTTAGAATTGTTTATTCTTCATTCAACATCATCTTTTGATAAGACATCAACAGTGTCGAAACAAAATTTGTGTAGTGATCTTATAACATGCATATGCTATAAATTTGAATAAATATTAATAGTTCTACTCGGTATGGAGCACTCTTTTAAGAATAGTGTTTTTGGTTATTTGAGCTTTATTCCATGTCTACTAACGCAGTACTTATATATATATATATATATATATATATATATATATATATATATATATATATATATATATATATATATATATATATATATCCCTGAGGATCCGCTTAGGTGAAACCTAGGTAGGTTTGTCTGGCTCACTGGGTGTATCTTGGTCTGCTCTACGGTTGTATTGAGCTCTTTTGTTAGTTAGGTGTTTACTCGTGTCGGGGTTTTTTTTCTTTGGGCTTCAAACCTGCATCTGTGCGATTTTTTTTCGACAGACTTTCATGTTTCTAGCTGTTTTTTTTTTAAAACCTTTTTTTCCTCGAGATTGATTTGATTATTGGCAAATCAAAAATTCGAGGGTTTTTCAAACGAGTATAGTTATCTATATTTGTATATATATATATATATATATATATATATATATATATATATATATATATATATATATATATATATATATATATATATATTTATTTTTTTTAGAAGGAGTATCACGAATAATCTGAGCAAACGAAAAAGAATCTTTAATAGTATACGAACTAAAGTGTTCAACAGCTGGTTGAAGAAGGTTTGAAAGAAAACTTGCAACCTTATGTTGAGACGAGCCTGACATGGACAAGATGGGTCGAAGGGGTACATTTTCCTTATGAATTTTAGGAAGGCCATATAGACGAGGACGAATAGATCCAACAGGTCTAATATCATCAATAACTTCACGAGGTATTAAGCCACGTTTGGCCCAGGATAAAAGTTTATATATATATATATATATATATTTTAAGCATTACGCCCCGAGCAAGGCGTGAAGCCACTAGGATGCAGGAGGTTGCAGAAGATTTGGAGCGAGAACAGATAGGAGTGATAGAGGAGAGGACGAGGAGAAGGATAGTGGATAGATCAAGATAACTGGAGATGTCGATTGACATCACATTTGAATAATATATGTGTTTGTGTGTGTGTTTGTGTGTGTGCATATACACACACACTCACAAACATATATATATATATATATATATATATATATATATACATATTACGACAAAAGGAAAATTCATCATTCGTTCTCTGACGGACTTTATCAAGACAAATGTGAGGATTTTATTTTGCAATAAGTATTTCTAAAAAACTTAAAGTGTTGTTGGTTTTTCAAATTTTTGAAATTTAAGAGTTGCTCATAAATATCCATCAGGATAACTGAAAAGTTTAGGTAAGTTATGGTAGATGCTAAGTGACATAATTTAATGCCTAATAAACGAAAGCGGATAAATAATGTTGAATATGTTTTGGGGCGGGGGGAATAAAATTGTGTATTATATTTTTTTTTATATTACAGGAGTTTATGAATTTAACCGTTCTTTTTTTATTTGTATTTTTTAACATTTTTATAATAATGTATGTTGGCTTTGAATAAAAGTAATTCTTTCAGGGGCGTAGATTTATATTTTAATAAGATTCGATATCGGCACTCTCGAGAAATTTAATACGAAATGTTATTAGCCGATTAAGGCTTTTGAATTCTTTTAAAATAACTCAATTATAGGTACATTAATCTTGTTGTCATTTGAAAATCCTAATGTCAAGTTGAAAAAACCTTAAAGTAGCAATCGTCTTTATGGTAAATATAAAAATGAAGTTACACCTCGATAAACGGTACATTCGATTCAATATGGCGTTGATTGATTTTTGTAACAATAATAAGAACTAATTATATAGTTTAATGTGAAGAGTTGTCTGTAAGCAGACGACAGCAGCATCAGTTTTTGAGGTCATAACAATGGGGATTCTACGAATCGCTGTTAATAACAAGAGATATTTGCTACTGACGTCAGAGAGCAACATTTCTGACTCCAATGGTCGTTCTTTATACAACTACTTTGACGTAAGTTCGCCAAAGCTGCCCGCTGTGTCTCACATACGTGCACAAGCAGGTATATATACGAAAACCGTTGTACAGACATACGCTCACTTTCAAATACACAGTTGTTTTTTCTGCACATGCGCAAAACATGTGAGGCCGCCATGAATAAAACGATTACATGATAAACTCATGTCTTCAAAAAAAAAAAAAAAAAAAAATCTTCTATTTTCAGAATTTCTTAAATTGGCATAATAAATATTTTTAAGACTATTTCGACATTTATATTATTTTAATGGCTTTTTCTTTCACAGAAAGTTCAGGTGTTTTTCATTCTACGACCATTATTATATATATATATATTTTTATCATTAAACCAGGAGCCTTGGTTAAACAAATGGACACACAAGGAGAGGGGGGGGTAAAATACATTTTCTTTTTTGCTATTATTAACCTAATAAAAGATACAAGAGCCGCTCAAAGTAGAGTGTTAATTTTTATATCTGATTCTAGAGCTGCCTCTCGAGGAAACCTACAAACAAACAATACAAGAATCGTTATCATTTATACAGGCTAATGGGTATTCCTCCAATTTTTCTTATTGTCAAATTTAAATAAAAAATGGTGTGTATTCCTTCAGTTCTGCCGACAGTTTTCCTTAAAATTTATAAAAAAAAAAAAACATTTTTTCGTCATTCCTCTAATTTTTCTGACTTTGACCCTTCTAACTTAAAAAAAAAAAACTTTAAAAAATCAACATTTATTGGGGTTTCCCATTTTTTCCCGACTGATTCCCATAAAGCTTAAAACCATTGAACGGGGATTTCTCCAATTTTTTTTTTCCAACTGACTCCTTTAAAACTTTTTAACAAATTTTAATGCGTATTTCGCCATTTCTTCCTATGTCTTCCTTAAAATGAAAAAAAAACAAAAAACAAAACAAAACAAAAAACAAACTTTTACTGGGTTTTTCTCATATTTTTTCCGACTGACTTTCATAAAACTTAAAAATATTTACTGGGTATTCCTCTAGTTTGACTCCCATAAAACTTAAAAAAAAAAAACATTTACTGGGTATTTTTCCAGATTTTCTGAATGAATCCCATAAAACTTAAAAAAAAAACCCCAAAAACAAAAAAACATTTACTGGGTATTTTTCCAGATTTTCTGAATGACTTCCATAAAACTTAGAAAAAAAAAAACAAAAAAAAAAACATTTACTGAGTATTTTTCCAGATTTTTTGAATGACCCCCATATAACTTAAAAAAAAAAAAAATTTTCTGGGTATTTTTACAGATTTTTTTCGACAGTCTCCCTTAAAGCTTAAAAAACTTTTATCGGGCTTTCATCCATCTTTTTCCGACTCTCTTAAAATTAAAAAAAAAACAAACATTTTCTGTGTATTCCCCCCGTTTTCCCACTGTCTTGGATGTGCGGGTGGTGTAATCGATAATGACTCGGAATTATTAATCAGAGAGCCGAGTTTCAATTCCAGTTGTGTTCGTTATATTCACTTACGCACAGATAACATTGGGAAATGGATTAATCCATATCTTCTCCTCGTATAAGACTTGTGTCACTAAACCATTAAAACCATTTAAAAAACAAAATACAAAAGGAAAATTCTGACAATCTGAAAATTTTTTTGGCTTTAAAAATCTCCAAGAATACAATGTCGTCGCCAACGTAGATTTTTTTTAGAAAGTTTCTACATTTGCGTCTAATGAATATATTTTGCTTTTTTTTGTTGTATAAAAATAACTTTAGAAGCTGAAACATGGGCAACTGAATTATTGGCAAATAACTGCACTGGGAAAACCCTTGTTAAATTTTCTGTTGTTGGATATCCGTTGAGGAAAGACCCTTGGCCTTACTTCCCTGCATCAATGTGTGAGCAGAAATTGTAAGTGGTGATAGCATAAACAAGAAATACATCCGGCTAAAATAAACATGGCGCACAGGTGTCCTGAGCGGAAGGCAATGCGAACTTGCGAAGTTGCGTGGGCGCATACCAGAAGCGACGTGGCCAACGAAGTTGCGTAGGTGACATACCTGAAGAAGGCGTGAAGTTGCTTGGGTGTTCAAATATAAGATATTTTTATGTTTATATATTATTTTTTTTTATAGATGCAAATATTTAAGTAAATGCTCTGTTTATAATAAACAATAATAAACTATATTTTCTATGACAATTTCTTGGACATTCAGGCCGGTAAATGTTGTTAATACTGTTTATTATAAACAGAGCTTTTACTTAAATATTTATATAAAAAAAGAATGTATAAAGATAAAAATGTTTTAAAATAATTGTCGGACTTTGTTCATTTCATAATGTGTGATATCATTTGTTTACATTTGGATACGCATCGAGCAGATATGAATGTATGCGAAAAAATCATAGAAAAATGTATTTTAAAATCAGTACAAAACGACCTTGCTAACCGAAACGCTCCTCTGTGGCGAAATCTGTAACAATTTTTCGTGTCAGCTATTACTTTGATCTACTAAAAAAAAAAAAAAAATAATTTCCATGCCTGAGGATGGCTGAATGTACAGCCGAAAGTACTTGCAGAATAAAAAAAAGACCTTATACAACTTATTAAAAACAAGGATCATAGCATTCATCGAGAGGTTTTTAGGTTAACGTAACTTTAATAAATTTGTTTGCGAAGATGTTTTTCGCCATTTATATCATTAACTTTACTAATCTACTTTTTGTATGAATGATTCACGTAATATATATATATATATATATATATATTTGAATAAAAGACAGGCCATGTTAAGATTCCATGTAATAAGCTATTTCACCATAACCCCTTTAACAGGGTTCTGGATCATCAGACTTTACTTCCAAAAGCTGAAATGAAAAATGAAAAGAAATTCACACGTTTTTTACGGACCTCATTAAGTATACGCAAAGTTAACGAAGTGAGGAAGTGAGGTGGGAGAGAGGATATGGGTGTGTCATATGTATCATTTTAGTTTCCTATTTTAACCCCAGTGTGTCGGCTGGATGTTGTTCAAATTTAACGCGTCTCGTCTCTAGATAAAGGTGGTTAAGGGGTGAGCGATAAGGACTACATTAAAGGAAGACGTTACAACAACCCCAATAAATTACACGACAGGTTTCATTCACTCTCTCTCTCTGTCTCTCTCTCTCTCTCTCTCTCTCTCTCTCTCTATATATATATATATATATATAGAGAGAGAGAGAGAGAGAGAGAGTGAATGAAACATGTATAAACATCTGTGTGTATGTTCGTCGTCTCACTTGAGTCCATCATCAATATACAACACCATGAAAGAGTGTCCAATGTAAACGTAATCAGTAGTTGAAAAACGCTCAGTCTTGTTGAACTTCATGCTAACACAAACATCGATCGCTATCCAACAATTTTTACTCACAAGGCTTGGATCAACTCGTAGTATGGTATACTGCAACGGTAACGCTCGCTGGGATTGCCCCGACGCCATCAAAAAGTTACCCCCTCAACAAATCGTCCATGTTGAGATACGAACCCGGGTCCCAGGATCATGACGCGGACGCGATAACCACTTCAACGCCCATCTATATACACGCACGTAAATCAGTTCCCTTTGAGTTTCAAATAGACGGGTAGGGACGATTATTCCTTTTTTGCGAAAAAAAAAAAAAACGAACATCCGGGATATCTTCAGCGGGTAACCTACCTGACGAACTCATGCGAATGGATCGCGAAAGAAGTGGGACGGATCATAAAAAGAGAAACATTACTAAGAGCTACAAACGATAGGAAGTCGTGGAGAGCTATGATCGCCCAGCCACTGACAGGAAACGGCACATAGATTGATAGATACATTTGTTTGTTTTTTTTACGTCGTATCAACATTTAACCATGTTATTTAAAGCCAGAAAATATTTTTAGATTGTAAAAGATTTTGGAAATAATCATGATTTTATTGATATAAGTCCTACTACTTAGCCCATAGCTGGGGGAGATGAGGTGGCCTTATATCTTTCCCAAGGGTATTTGCGCGTAAGTGAATGAAACGAACCCGACTGGAATTGGAACTCGGCTCACCGATTTCCAATACCAACCCGTTAGTCATTACCCAACCCGCACATCCAGCTTTTCGCCATTTTGAATTCACAAGCGGTCAGCTATCGAGGTCCTGATCAAGCTCCACGTTGCTTAACTTCGATGGTCGTACAAGAACCGGTGTTTCAACATGATATATTCGTAAGCCATACCACTCACACATCCAAGCATACAGCAGCCGGTATTTCCAAGCGGTCACCCATCTAAGTACTGTCCAGGCTCGACGTTGCTTAACTTCGATGGTCGTACGAGAACCGGTGTTTCAATGTGATATATTCGCAAGCCATACAACTCACACGTCCAAGCATACAGCAGCCGGTATTCCCAAGCGGTCACCCATCTAAGTACTGACCAGGCTCGACGTTGCTTAACTTCGATGGTTGTATGAGCATCGGCGTTTCAACGTGATTTGACCGTAAACCATATCATCCACACATCCAAGCATACAGCACCCGGTCCTCCCAAACGGTCACCCATCTAAGTACTGACATGGCTCGACGTTGCTTAAAATCGATGGTTGTATGAGAATCAGTTTTTCAAAAGGTGATTTGACCGTAAACCATACTATCCACACATCCAAGCATATGGCATTCCTAAGCGGTCACCCATCTAAGTACTGACATGGCTCGACGTTGCTTAAATTCGATGGTTGTATGGGAATCAGTTTTTCAAGGTGATTTGACCGTAAACCATACTATCCACACATCCAAGCATACGGCATTCTTAAGCGGTCACCCATCTAGGTACTGACCAGGTTCGACGTAGCTTAACTTCGGTGATGTTACGAGAACCAGTGTAGATTAAAGTGACGTAAGCGTCATTTCTATTTCTATTATGGCAACGAGATAAACAACGATTACATTTTGATTTCAGAGATTTGTGAGCAAAAATGAACGAAATTGGCGCAGAAGTAATTGAACGAAGCCAATCCAAGACAATGTTATAATCGAATAGATTGGGAATGCGACGTTCCTTCGTTGCATTTCTCGCGGCAACGTGATTATTTGGCGGTTCCTGTCACGTGTTTCAAAATGTGCCATGCTGTATGGATTTACTACACGGCGAGAAGGAATAATACCCGACATGATATATTGGTCCTTCCCCCCCCCCCCCCAAGATCCTTCGATTAAACTCGGTACACACAACGCCAGCCGGATTTCTCCGATTACTCTTCCGGCCGGAAGAGACAGGCCTGACCCGCTATTTAAATCTATTTTTATTTTCAACTTTTTTTTTTCTCAAGCCACCTGCTTTTCACTATTTACATTATTAGGACTATTGTCCTCATCTCTGTTGCTATATTTATCACAACGTTTCGGCCGTTGTACGCTCCGTTCTTCCCCCACACATTTTTTTTCGGATTCGAAAACAGAATTAATTTTCAAATCTATTCCGTTATTCCAACATATCCCTTTATTCTGAAGTTGTCCTGTTAACATGTAAAATCCGCCATGTCGCTATGGGGAGGAAATTTTTTTTCTTATAAAACTAAAAATGAAATAGAATTTTTCATTTTAGTTTTGGTTTGGTTGTTTTTGTTTAGTGATGTGACGATGTTCTTCGCTCGTTCATCGTTCGCTGCACCTGTGAAGAGTTCCAAGGCTATACACCCGGCTATATGTTGGCCTTAATCTAATTCAACAACAATATAAACAATTGCTTTTCAAGACAACTCTGGTTGGGAAATAGAACAATACGAAATGTCACTTAACCGCTATCTCCCTAACTTCCACTGGTCCCTTCCTCGACAGCTACTGGTCACCTACCTACTTTCATGTGGTCTCGGTGACGGCCGATTCCTCACTGACTGCTAGACTCCTTCTCCTTGACTTCTTACCGGTCTCTGCTTATATATATAATGGATGGGATCCCATCTCTTATCCATCAACTTACGTTCCGGAAAATTTGAGGCCACCCGAAAGCCAGATAGGTGGTCAAAGCTTTAAACGACTCTACTTTTATGATTATCTAAAATCATTAACAACCTTTTATGTTTGCCAATTCAAAGGCAGGCCCGACACAGAAATCCGGAAAGCTATTGGTACTTAAGCTGACTCAAAGAAAAAGGAATCTACATGGTTTAGCCTTCCTTCGAATTTCAACATGTGGTTTAGCTCTCATTCCAGTTTTAACATCTGGTTTAGCCTTCCTTGCGCTTTTAACATCTGGATTAGCCCTCCTTCAACTCTTAACATGTAATTCAGCCTTCCTTCGAATTTCAACATCTGGTTTAGCCCTCTTTCCAATTTCAACATCTGGTTTAGCCCTCCTTCCAATTTTAACATCTGGTTTCCACTTTAAACATCTAGTTTAGCTTTCCTTCCACTTTTATCATCTGGTTTAGCCTTGCTTCCAATTTTAATATCTGATTTACTCCTCCTTCCAGTTTTGACATCTGGCTTAGCCTTCCTTCGACTTTTAACAAATGGTTTAGCCTTCCTTCCGATTTTAATATCTGGTTTAACCCACCTTGCAGTTTTAACATCTGGTTTAGCCTTCCTTCCACTTTTAACACCTGGCTTAGCCTTCTTTCGAATTTCAACATGTGGTTTAGCACTCCTTCCACTTTTAACATCTGGTTTAAGCCTTCCTTCGAATTTCAACAAGTGTTTTTTTATTCCTTCAACTTTTAACATGTGGTTTAGCACTCCTTCCATTTTTAACACCTGGTTTAGCCTTCCTTCCACTTTTAACATCTGGTGTAGCCTTGCTTCTAATTTTAATATATAGTTTAACTCACCTTGCAGTTTTAACATCTGGTTTAACCTTCCTTCCACTTTTCACATCTGGATTAACCCCCCTTCCACTTTTAACATATACTTTAGCCTTCCTTTCAATTTTATTATCTGGTTTTACCCTCCTTGCAGTTTAAATATCTGGTTTAGCCTTCCTTCAAATTTTAATATTTGGTTTAACCCACCTTGCAGTTTTAAAATCTTGTTTAGTTACCAACTCTTAACATCTTATTTAACCGCAATCAATTTCTATTTTGTAGCAGCCCACTTAAAATCTGTGGTTTTCTTTTTTTTTCTTTTTTCTCTCCTTTTTCTTTGTTCCCTATCCCTTCAGGACTTTGATAGTCATGGCTCTAGAAAATTTCCTAATTTTTTTGCTCTATATCCTAATCTCTCTATTGTCAATTATCCACACAAGGTCGTTAAGTAGGCTCTCCGCCATCCCTTTTACCGTCAATCTGTCTTGTGAGTGTCACATTTTCCAAGCCTTCTTTCCTCATTGTGCGCCCTAGAAATTTTAAATGACTCTTTCTGGTTCTACATATAAGAGCCCTACTTTTGGTTCATGTGTTCATTCCATGGTATTTTCTCAGCATCCTTCCGTAGAACCGTATTTCTGTTGGCTCGTGTCTTTTATTGAACTGTGGTGAGATTGAATATACTCAATGAATAAAAGTTTAAAAATAAAGCAAAACCTTGTCATTTGATATTTTCACTTTCGTCGTCCGATTTTTTTTTCAGTTCTTCGAATTGTGACAGAACAATAGATTTAAAAAAATCTCTTGGCAACCAATAACAATATCAAATCAAAAGGCGCCATATGCCTCTTCCTCTGTCACACGTACATATCACGTATATTTACGTACATGTGTGGGCGATGCAACTCGTAAGCGTGGGTTGTTGCCGACGTCAATTCTGCGGCTTTATTTATTTAACTTTTACGGAAATTTAGAGGAATAATAATAATAATAATAAATAAGGGAACAAGAAAAAAAAAGAAAAGAAATTTATCCAGAATATTAGAATCTATATCTTTGTTTATTTAATTTCGCTCGTCCTGGGTATGACAATAAGATGCATCCAATAGCAAGGCAATCGGGAGATTAGAGGCTTTAAGGAGCGTGGAGCCAACTCGTAATTGCTGTTGTTCCCAGGTCCATCCTGACCCGGGCTGGTAGCACCTGTTAGGGAGTGATAGCAATGGGCAAATAGTAAACCCCAAAACAAAACTCAGCAGTACATTTTTATAGTAAAACTACCAACAATACATTTTATGATCTATAAAATATGTATCTAAAAAACAGCAAAATTATTTACAAAGTATCCGTAGTTGAGGACATAAAATTGCATTCAAATTATTTAGATTACGGCATTAAATAACCCATAGAGGTGTTGATATGCCGCAAAACAAGGTCAAACAACCAACATGAAAGAACTTTCATGGCATTAATCCATATAATATTCTACAAGAAATCAAACACGGAACGTACACAGGCCGAAACGTTGTGAATAGGATAATAAGGATGAGGACAACAGTCTGAATGATGTAAATAATGTAAATAATAACCTTACCTCATCTCAGAAATATAGACAGATACTGAAGAAGGCCGGAGCGCACAACCTCCGAAACGTTGTGAATAAGATAATGAAGATGAGAGAAAAAGTCCGAATGATGTAAATAGTGTAAATAATTACCATACCTCAGCACAGAAATATAGACAGATCTTGAAGAAAGCCGGAGCGTACAACGGCCGAAACGTTGTGAAAATGATAATAAAGACGAGAGAAAAAGTCCGAATTATGTAAATAGTGTAAATAGTTACACTTGCTCATCTCAGAAATATCGACAAATAGTGTTTTTTTTTTGTTTTTTTTTCAATTTTCAAGAACCAAGAAAATGTATAAATTCACTTTCATATGTTTAAGTTTTATTACAATTCTAATCATCATCTTTTCTCTACCTGTAGTGGCTCACGCACCTTTTACAGGGTGAACCTCACTGGAAAAAAAAGTGTGGTTGTATATTAATAGCAGGGAATCCGTAGATCATTACACTTTTAATTCATCTTCATCGGAGCAAATAGCAGGGAATCTGTAGATCATAAATTTCAATGATTCTTCGTCGGAAAAGTTATATCAGATCATTGCCCGATTACCATTGTTAATATTAAATAAGCGCAACTTAAGACTAGCTTTTGTATTGTTGCTGATTTCTGGTTCTTTGCAATTGAATAATAATAATACTATTTTCATCTTTCAGCTGCCAGTCAGACATTGTGGGTTGTTGACCTTTTGTCCACAAATGAATGACTTAAAGATGGAGAATGAAAAGTTGCACTTTCGCCATATTATACTCTAAGAATTTCAGAAAGGAATAAATGTCGGAGGCATTTTTTTCTTAAAAAAACAAAAAAAAAAGCACTTCATCCCAAGCAAAGCGGGAGTGCCACTAGCACGCAAGAGGTTACAGATAATGAAGGTGAATTTAAGCGTATTTACTTTTAGATAAATGCATAGTCATTGAGAGAACCCGATTCGTTTTAACAATAGTCTTCCATTATTACCAGCAATAGTCAATGTTTACAAACTCACACTTCCCCCCTATACACACACACACGCGCGCGCATATATATATATATATATATATATATATATATATATATATATATAAGCTTCTAAATAATAATAATCTATTAAACAATAGACACGACTTAACGGTTTTTTGTAGGCATCATCAGATTTTTGGTTTGAACTATTAGCTAAAAACTAGCATACAATATAATAACTTGTTTAATCCATAGCCCATTCATCAGATTCATGAT